TGAGTATAAAGTGCTTCCTCTGCCCACTTGCTATACTTAGTCAAAGAAACTGCTGCAATTTTACGCTCTCCTTCTGATTAAGAGACTGACTTTAAGAGGATCTAATCTTTCCGGAAAATCTAGACACAACAAATGCAACTAAACCACAGGGTCTTAGAAAGAGATGCAACTGCTTCCTCATAATATCACTGACAAAATCCACCATGAGGAAGAAACACTCCAGTTCTGGCTGTCTTCTGCACGAGTAATAAGCAGACAAAGTAAATAAATCAGGATTAAAAGTTATTTAAACATTAACAAACATCTAAATTCTTTAATATGTCACAATGTCTAGCAACTCATTGCTATACGTTCGTTATTTTCCAATTAATTTGCTTCGTTCATTTCTGTGATGAAATAAGTTTCAGATTCATTTCTCTGTTTTGATGCATTTTTAATCAAAAGAAAGTGATCGCTGCCATGTGTTAATATTAACTGAGCAGATGCCACTTAACACACACACACAAGCACAAGCGTGACGGGCATCTTGAGAAAGGCGAATCTCTGAGTGAATTTTAATCCAAATACAGTTCAATCATTTATTTCTAAATCTGTGCTATAGCTGTTTTGCACGGTTGCTCTGACGGAAATAGGACAAGGCAGTGTGTGTCTGCCAGTCAAACAGACAATAATCAGGCCAGACACACACAGTACTGTACATGCACACTGCCTAAACTGCGCTGCTGTGATTTATGGAAGGCCGGAAACTACATTTTATAGATGAACTCATATGAAACTACACTCAAATATTCATCTGACAGCTGCATCAAAATTCAATAATCTCTAATATGTTCTCCTCTTAAAATCCCAAAGCATTCTGGAAGAAAAAAAGGGTCAAATGATACAAATGAAAATCCCATTCTATGTCAAACCTCACGGTATGACAACAACATTAATCTGTCGAAACAAACTTTTTACAGCAAGACAAGTGCCCTCAAACGCCTCAGGACTGATTCATATTTAATTAGACCTATCAAGACTGCCTAAATACCACAGTAAATGATCTAAAGAGGGAATCAGAGAATAAAAATCTGTAAAACCGTAATAGCTGTTCAGCAAAATGTGTTTTAAATTATATGCGTATATACTGCTAAGAACACTACTTAATGCATTTTAAATTATATGCATGCTTGCTACTAAGCAAACTACTAAATGCATTTTAAATTATATGCAAGTGTGTACAATATATTATATTTGTGTATACTACTAAGCAAACTACAACAATGTATTTTTATTATATGCATCATGCATACTACCAAGCAAACTATTTAATATATTTTATATTATATGCATCATGCATACTACTAAGCAAACTACTGAATATATTTTATATTATATGCATCATGCATACTACTAAGCAAACTATTGAATATATTTTATATTATATGCATCATGCATACTACTAAGCAAACTATTGAATATATTTTATATTATATGCATCATGCATACTACTAAGCAAACTACTGAATATATTTTATATTATATGCATCATGCATACTACTAATCCAACTATTTAATATATTTTAAATTAAATGCATCATGTAAACTACTAAGCAAACTACTAAATACATTTTAATTTATGTGTGTGTACTACTAAGCAAACTACTTCATGTATTTTACATTATATGCATGTCTACTAATAAGCAAACTAAATGTATTTTAATGATGTGTATATACTACTAAGCTTCATGTATTTTAAATAATAATATAGCGAAAAACTACTAAGGAAACTACATTGTTGATATTGTAAACTACTTAGGAGATTTTTTAAATTATATTTGTGTATACTACTAAGCACATTATGTAATGCATTTTAAATTATATGTGTGCATACTTATAAGCAAACATGTACATTATATGTGTGTATACTACTAAACAAACTACAACAATGTATTTATAGTATATGCATCATGTATACTACTAAGCAAACCATTTAATATATTTTAAATCATATGCATGTACTATTAAGCAAACTACTTTATGTATTTTAAATTATATGTGTGCATACTTCTAAGCAAACTTGTATATTATATGTGTGTATACTATTAAGCAAACTACAACAATGTATTTGTATTATATGCATCATCATGTATACTACAAAGCAAACCATTTAATATATTTTAAACTATATGCATGTACTATTAAGCAAACTACGTCATGTATTTTAAATTATATGTGTGCATAATTCTAAGCAAACTACTTAATGCATTTTAATTGTATGTATACTAATAAGCAAACTACCTAATGTACTTTAAATTATATGTGTGCATACTTCTAAGCCAACTACTTAATGTATAATATATTATATTTGTTTACTACTAAGAAAACTACTTCTTCTTCTTCTTTGGCCTTAGTCCCGTATGGTTGCGGGGTCGGCTCTTTGGAACAAGTCCTCCATTTAGACTTGTCCATATGATAACGACTTTTTTTTACACATTCCGGCCAGCCTGTCATGTATTTTAAATTATATGCAAGTGTATACTACTAAGCAAACTACTTTGCAGATATTGTAAACTACTTCTGATACATTTTCAACTATATTTGTGTATACTATGCAAACTGCAACTTAACGCATTTTAATTATATGCATCATGTATACTACCAAGCAAACTACGTAATGTATTTTAATTTATATGCATGCATACTTCTAAGCAAACTACTTTGTTTATTAAACTACTTATTAAACAACAAATCTACTTAATGATTATTATATATGTGTGTATATACCACTAAGCAAACTACTTTATGTATATTATATTTGTGTTAACTACTAAGCAAACTTCTTCATGTATTTTTAATTACATGCAAGTTCATGCTACTAAGAAAACTACTTTGTAGATAATAAAAACAGCTTAGGAGATATTTTCAATTACAATTGTGTATACTACTAAGCAAACTACAACTAAATGTATTTCAAATTATATGCATCATGTATACTACTAAGCAAAATACTTAATATATTTTATTATATGTCTGTACACTACTGAGCAAACAATTTAATATATTTGTATTTATATGTGTGCATATACTTCTAGGCAAACTACTTAATATATACAAATTTATATTCATGTACACTAAGAAAAATGCTTGATGTATTTTAAATTATATGTGTGTACTACTAAGCAAACTACTTCATGCATTTTAAATTATATGCAAGTGCATACTACTAAGTAAACTACTTTGTAGATATTGTAAACTACTTAGGGGATATTTTCAAATATATTTATGTATACTACCAAGCAAACTACTTAATGCATTTCAGGTTACATGCATGTATACTACTAAGCAAACTACTTTTTGTCACATCAATGAACACGCTGATTTACACAGCAAAAATATCTGAAATATATTCATTTGCATGCATTAAACTGCACAAATAGGGAACAAAAACAAAATAAAAAATAGGATGGAGTAAATAAATGTGTTTTTGTGCCAAAAGAGATTACCAGTGCAACATAATAAAGTCCATTTCAATCCCATAAATAGGCTTTTTTTTAAGTAATAAGGCTAAAGCAGATTGTGATGAAAGCCTCTGCTGAGAGAGTCACACTAACCGAGCGATCTGATTGGCTGCTGACAAGCACTGCAACCGGCAAGTCATTACCTGATTGGTTTAGCACCTCTGTTTGATGCTGCTGGCTATTCTATTGGCCGAGGTGTTGCCGTGCTAGTGCATGTGTTGATTGACGCAGATTTATGTCCGTCAGACTCTCAGGAGAACCACTGTCCAATGAGGTGAGAGTATTGATTTACATTTACGCTGGTTTTGTTCACAGATATACGAGCCACACCCTCAGAGAAAGCGAGCAATGGGGAGAGGGTGTTTCACAAGGACAGATGACGCATCTGTTCAACCAGATCAATTCTGACACACTAACACATATTGAAATAGAGTGATGAACCACTTATTGACAAATGATGTTAAAGTGTAAACTGGTGGAAGCATTTTGAGCACAAAACCAGGTGCATCCACACACACACACACACACACACACACATTTATAAGCACCCTGAAAAAATTATACACACGGACACACACAATAAAACATTACACTATTCAGCCACCAGGTGGAGATTTTCAATTTTGAGTCAGCAGTGAAACAAAGAAATCAAGGATCTCTCTCTCACACACACTTACTCACACACTCATACACAAAGCTCCCCCTCACACTCCATGCTAGCGGAAATGAAAACGCATCAGGCATAATGTTAAGGAGAGGAAAGAATCTGCTCAGCATAACCATAGAGATGTGATAAAGACACACTCACACACACACACATAAAATACAGACTAAAGTACAGTATAATTGTGCAGTGTTTGGCAAAAATAAAAGGCATTAAATGTGTATATAAACACAAAATAACTGATCTTCCCAATAATTCATATCCACATTCATAACATTGTGGCCATCAATAGCATATAGGCTGTAAAACTATTGCATTGTAGTAATCTAGTGTCCTGCTGTCGCGAGAAACATATGTGACCCCTATTCTCGCTCTAATCCATTAACCTGCAAAACTGCTATGAAAACATAATCCACCTATTCCCTATGCCTGCGACCTAATTATTCACACTGAGAAAAATATAATTCATGTACATCCCCTGTGGTGCGTGTTTTGTGTGTGAGTCACTGTGTAAATGTTAATGTGCATGCGAGAGGATGGATAGATGCAGGGGTGAGTATTGGGATACTGCAGAATGACATCAGCAAGAACGCGTACGGGACTTTGAAGTGGAGCGAAACAGAAGCCGGTGTTCCTAAAGTACTATATTAAACCAGCTGAATATATAACCATCACAGGCTGAACATCATATTTCACTCTCCTCATTAAAGCTTAAGTGTTTCACTTGGTCTCATGCATTATCAAGAGCTTCAGAATCAGATTCGTGTAAAGTGTTTTGGGAGAAACTTTTTAAAAACACTTTCCATCTACTATCTCATATGTAAAAATGGTCTTACCTTGAGCGTGCTCTGGGAGTTCAGCAAACGCAGGGAGGAGCGTGGTAAACACAAAAAGAGACAAAGAAGGAGATGGTTAGTATTTCACTTTTGTTAACACAAGTGAGATCAAGACCCAGCTATGCTGAGAGACAGATAGAGCTTTCCAAAAGGAGACCTACTGTATACCGCTGAAAACAAACAAAGGAAAATAAACAATACATATTTCACTAAGTATGGTTTAATAATACACACAGCACACACAGTGCTCAGTAGGGCTGCATGATATTGGAAATATCTGACATTGTGATATGTTATTTTTCTGCTATATTTATAGTAATATGAATATAATTATTTCACCAGATGACTCAATTTGAAAAAAAAAAAAAGCTTAGTCCCTTTATTAATCAGGGGTCGCCACAACGGAATGAACCGCCAACTTATCCAGCAAATATTTTACACAGCGGATGCCCTTCCAACTGCAACCCAACACTAGGAAACACCCATGCACACTTTTTCACACACATACACTACCGCCAATTTAGCAAATTCACCTATAGACTCTGGGGGAAACCGGAGCAACCGGAGGAAACCCACGCCAACACAGGAAGTGCACTTGCATTGTGATGATATTATATTGTCATTCTAGCATTAAAAAAGTGGCATTAAATAGTTTTAAAATGACAATAATATTGTTTATCGCAATATATTTGGATGCAATACATCATGCAACAACAAAGAGATATGGTGGCAGGCCTACCCGTTGGGAACGGAAAGCTAAGCCAATACCGATACTAACCTAAAAGCAAGATTGCACCATTTTAAATATTTCAGTATTAATATTTACAGATATTTCTGACAACACTAATCCTTTATAAATATGAATCCCTGTTCCTCTTAGATTTAAACTGTAGATATAAAGACAAAGGAACATCCAGTGCCAGAAAGAAAGGGAGAGAGGCAGTGAAATGCACAATTAGCAGCGTGCTAAAAATGGAGCAGAACAGCTAAAGGAGAAGAGAAAGAGAGAGCAGACCACTGTCAAAAGTAGGAGGGAGGAGAAAAAAACAGCAGCTTGAAAGAATGGGGTTAGTGAGGGAGGAAGATAAGGGGAAATTAAACAGGGATTAAAAGGTGGAGAGAGCGAGTGAGAGCGAAACAAGATACACAGTGTGAGAACCAAATTAGCTAGTGGGAGAAAGTGAATGGAGGAACTGTTACAGTTGTCAGTGGCTCCCATTGGACTTTAGCATTGTGTGTATATGTATGTGTGTGTGTATGAGTGAATGACATGTCTTTAGCACGCTGGGTAAAGTTCTTTTGCTCTTCAGACCTGTGTAAAGCTGATGACTTTCCTCTGTAATCCCATTAGGAAGCTTGTAGTTGGATCATCGTCTCCCTGGTTGTGCTGACAGGCCTAATCCAACAGCACACATCAACAACAACGCCGCGTCTACGGCAAGCGTGCTGGACCAGATTAACCTCAAAAAACACCTGAGATGCATAATCTGGTCGTGGTTCTGACACAATTTTAAAGTCGAAGTTATAATATTGACAATCATTGTGTGCGACAGAGTGATTGTATTAGCTGGAAGGTCACAGTTAAGTTGTGTTTTCCCTAATGACAGCTCGGGCACTCTACACATGAGCTGTCAGTGCTCATTATCGGACTGACAGAATGAATGAAATGGTCTTCTTGATGATGCCTAAAATAAGTATCAGCAAGAAGACAGATATAGCATTGCTTTCCTTTTGTGTGTCATTCCCTCATAGCAAACTAACTGTAACATGGGAACGGTTCAGAATATTGTGGCTGAAGTCGTCAAACTGACATCAATAGAGAAGAATCGCCACTGTAAATACAAAAGTAAATGGTCAAATTGAGCAGTCATTTGATTAAAGATGACCAAAACAATTATTTTATTGGATTAACTTGCACAGATTAATTAGTAAGCATTGTTTGTACTATTAGGGTGAAAGTATTTAGGCATCATGCATTTGAACACCACTAAATACACTAAATACAATGTATATATTGTTAAAAAAAATCCATCTAAGGGCTCTATTATAACAATCAAGACGCAAAGTCTAAAGCGCATGGTGCTCAAAAAATTAAAGGCATGTCCGAATCCAATTTTGCTATTTTAAGGATGGAAAAATACGCTCTGCGCCCTGGTGCATGGTCTAACAGGGTTGTGCTTAATCTCCCAATGAGTTATGGGTGTGTTTTTATGTTTTGTTATGTCACATTCCCTTTAAGAGTCAGTTTTGTCACGCCGTGGTGCATTTGCTGTTTACATGGTGGACGTTTTAAGTGTAAAAACTCAACGCTTCACTAGCAAGAAAACAGTTAAACAGAGCATCTGCAGCGCAAGGATAAAGAGCAAGTCTGTATGCTAATGCAGACGTCTCCAAAACCGGTTCCTCTTTATATTAAGTGGCCTTAACTAATATGTACTTACACAAGAATAAATAGTTTGTTACAATGTACTTATTATGTAAATACATGTATTTACTATGTACTTATTCTTGATTAAATACATTTATGTAATTATATCTGTAATTAACTTTTGTATTTACATTTGTAAATACACTGTTGATCATCCCTTACACCTGAACCCACCCTTAAACCTATCCGTGCCACCAAACCTGTCCATAACCCAACCTCTATCCCAACTCAAAAGCACCACAAGTGCTCTCAAATACATTATAAACACATTAAGTACATTGTATTTATTTTTTTATGTAAGTACATAGTAGTTAAGGACACCTAATATAAAGTGGGACCCCAAAACCCGACAGGTGGACAAATCTAAACTTATTTTTATTCAAACAAATATGAATATGCATATAATAAATAATACATTGAATAATAATAATAGCAATATACATATGCAGATTGTCATGAATAAACTGAAAAACTGTTTCGGCATTCATGTTAAGAGATTAGAGCTTTCATACTGTAAGCAGAAGCAGCATGAGTGGTGCTGAAGCAGCAGTGCTGCGATAGTTTCGGCGCTGGGTCTATTTTGTCGCTGCTCACGCTCAATTAAAGTGACAGTGCATTGATAATGACCCAAAACACATTGAATAACATTAAAAAGTAGCAATTTTACCCAATCAAAGCATCAATAATATCCACTGATTTTTTTATATTCAATCAAATGAACTTAAATTAATTAAAACGGCAACGAATATTTATGTCACCGGCTCGGTCCCAGTCATTCCCCTCGCTGGCCAGCAGAGGTCATCATCACCGGACTATTAACATTACGTCATTCCCACTGACTGATTAGCACATACACCTGCAGCACGATTCCCAATCACTCAGCTCACCCATATAAGCAGCACACACACGCTGCTTCAGTGCTTCAGCTCATACACTCTACACATGATCTGTCAGTGCTCATTATTAGACTGACAGAATGAATGAAATGGTCTTCTTGATGATGCCTAAAATAAGTATCAGCAAGAAGACAGATATAGCATTGCTTTCCTTTTGCGTATCATTCCCCTTAGCAAACTAACTGTAACATGGGAACGGTTAAGAATATTGTGGCTGAAGTCGTCTAACTGACGTCAATAGAAAAAAATCGCCACTGCAAATACAAAAGTAAATGGTCAAATTGAGCAAATTTACCCAATCAAAGCATCAATAATATCCACTGATTGTTTTATATTCAATCAAATGAACTTAAATTAATTAAAACGGCAACAAATATTTATGTTACCGGCTCGGTCCCAGTCATTCCCTCGCTGGCCAGCAGAGGTCATCATCACCGGACTTTTAACATTACGTCATTCCCACTGACTGATTAGCACATACACCTGCAGCACGATTCCCAATCACTCAGCTCACCCATATAAGCAGCACACACACGCTGCTTCAGTGCGAAGTCTTGTTCTGCCCCGGCTAACACTACTGAGCGTTTCTGATCCTTGCCTGCTTTCCCGTTGATAACCCTGGACTGTATCTCGACCTTGTATTGCCTGCCCTGAACTTTAGCCTGTTCACCGACTTTGATCCTCACTGCCTGCCTTTGACCCATGCCTGAATACTCACCTTGTGTTTGCCTGCCGCCAGCCCTTCGACTAACTACAACTGTGTTTGATGTGAGTTCGCACACGCTTAACATCTGTGTGCGTATTGTTATTAAACTCTGTACAAATATACAAATAATATACAAATGGATCCTTCCTTACAATTTACTTGGCCCTGAACTACAAAACTAAATTTAAAACAATTTTAGTATTAGTTTCGCTTAAGTTGCACGCTAGTTTGATCATGTGTAAATATCATTATAAATTTATAGTTTAAATATTATTATAACTATATTGGCCTACATCATCCTGACAATCAAATACAAAAATACATGACACCACAGGCGACTGTCTTCTGACCAAATGGACATTAAAAGACAAGAATGGCGCTTTTCATAGAGCTTGAGAGGTATACAGTTCTTTAGGGTCTATATTATTTGTAAAATAAAGACTTGCAGGTTAAGGAAACAGCATGGGAGGAAATTTCCACGGGCATTGGTGCAGATGAAAAAAAGAAAGTGTATTTATATACAAATATAGATTGGAAACTATAGAATAGACAGAGACAGATTGATCTGTGCAACTTTATAGCAATTATAGCAAATTTACAATACTCAAAAATGTCCTGAAAATTTCCTGATGTAAGGTAATGTCCTGTTTTTCTAAATCATTTTCACATATCCCCATGGGCCTGGGGACTTTGTCACTGAGCTTTAAAGGAAATTAAATTCACAGAGCATAAAAAGCCTCTTTCCAAGCTTTGCGCTTCAAACCGATCAAATAAAATAGAAAAAGAGATCATGTCCTGCTGAACCCGCACGCAGGACAACGACTTAACCTCACTGTCAACCTCATACAAGCCAACATTACAGCCACTGCTCTGATTACCTTCAGTAAAGGTCACTGACCATCCAATTCACTGGCAATGACAAGGCTAGCACCGCCACACACGACAATACTAACAAACCATTACAGGTTTATCATCTGCATTC